AGTGTGTTTTTGGGGGGCCAAGGATCCTCAGAGAGTGTTTTGGGGAGGCGGAGGGGCGTCGGTAGAGGTGTGAAAAGTTAAAGAGAGTCTCGTATTTTCACGCTCGGTCACATTTAAATGAAATGAGGCAGGAGTTAAAAGTGATGGAGGAAGATGACCAAAAGCCTAATTTCACTACGAAACACGACTAAGAGCAGAATGCAACCGACGGTTCAGCAGCGTGCCGAATTTTGAAAGCCTACATGGAAAAAGCTACTGTTGAAAAAACTCAACTAGAAGGAGGAAAGGAGAAAGATCAATTACTTCAAATCAGTTATTTATTTTCTAGAAAGTAATTTGATGAGTGTGCTGAATCTGCCATTAGAGGTGGTGCTGCTAGTCTTCGTAAAAACAAACGGTTGAAGAATTACCATGGAGAACGGATCCAGTCTCCAAGCTCGTCTCCTTTCAATCACGGTTGCTTTTTTTCTTTCCGCAAGTCATACCCATAGTAACTTATCAAACCTCACGTCCTGGTAAGAGGAAGGAAGTGCTACTTAGTGTAGGAGATTGCATCAGTTCAGTTCCTGTAAGTGGTTTCCAAAATGCAGAACAGGTAAGCTCACCTTATATGCCACACCTGCAATAAAACTTAAGTATATTCCACTCACCATCTTTTTCCATAAACATATTTTGCAACATCAGCAAAACATCTGTTTACAACTCGTGCAGCAAGCCAGTTTAAGTACCCAGATGGCCAGAGTTTTAGCTCTCCCAAATTACCGATTAAAGTAATCGTGAAGAACTCGGATGACAAAGCTGTTTGAGGTAACTGAAACAATTAGCAACAGAAGAACGTAAATCTGATTGTATTACGTATTGCTCCATAGACTAACACAAGTCACAGCTCCTAATCTGTGATATTTAGAAGGGACATTATCAACTACAAAGTTTTTTTTTTTTTTCCTGGACGTGAAGTTATCAGTGATTCAGCACTGGTAAACGTAGTTTTTAAGTTCAATTTGGACATATGCCCACTTCATGCCTAGAACCCTGGGTAACCAGTACTAATATTCTGTTCGAGTGTCATACGTAGCAACGGGCAAAAATCAGAAGGTGTTGAGGGCAACAGCTGGAAGAGCTTTGAATTCAGCTTTTCCCCCAATGACTAGATTTTGCGTTGAGAGTGTCCCTTTAAAAAGGTTCAGATACAACAGAAGTTGACTCATTTTAGATTTAGATCTTATAAGAAAGCTACCACTAAACTGACTTAACAGTTGTTAAGCATCAATGAATATTATACAAACAAACATCTGCTTTATAAATGAAGTAGCAGCAACATGGACTTCTAGGAGGTTGAGTCTCTGCAGGATTTATTTGAAAGATTATGATGTGGCAAATACACTGTGATTTTACATAATTTAGTTTTGAGAGTAGCTTATGGTAACTACAAACATTACTGAAAATGCCTGCTCCCAGTCATTACTTTTCTGGTATAAGCGTGAGTTCGCCAGGTAAATGAAGGAATGGATATTCAAAGTGCGGTTCTACTCAGAAAATTGGCAACATTCTATGTCTTGGCAAATCCCACATAAAATCTGCTCAGTTTACAGATGAAAAAGACAGCTTTTTCTAATTTTCAGGACAATAAGCTGAGCTTGAAATATTAACATTAACAAAATATATATATATATATATATATTTAAGGAAAGAACATCAAGGACATCATTATACAATGTTCTCATGATTCTGTACATTTTTGTTTTCTGAATGTAACGTCTATTAATTCAATGCATTCATAAAACTAATGCATGTACATAAGCAACTACAAAGTCAGGGTTTCAAGGGATTCTGTTAGTGTTACTGCTAATGCCACAGCTTTGCTTCTTTAATAGGAATAAAGAGGAAGAAACTCAAGCCACTGAGCAGAGTATGCATTGGGCAAGTCTGTTCTGTAAAGTGGTGCTGCTTCTAGTCACTTTTTTGGTTCATCACTGTACTTAAACTGTTTTAATACCAATTTACCTCAATATTAATAAATGTGGAAGAACAATTAGAATTGAACCACTGAACAGCTGTATCAGTTTGAAATGCTGCCACATATTTCTTCATGTCAAAAGATTCACATTCTGTTTATTGCACAATTTGAAAGTTCAGGTAACGTGCATAAAAACCTTCTTAGTGTTTGCACTGTGACTTGCGAAACATACATTTAAAAGGACCTTAATACAATTTACAAAATCTTTTTAAACAATTTTATATTCTTAAGATAAAAGCATCCTGAGAATGTTACAAAGTTCATTTTACAAGCCCTTCATTTCTACTATGCTTTATTTATCCCCTCAACCCTAATCTGGCAAGTTTTTTAATATCTTGATGCTATATTTCACAAAATATCTTTTAGCAAAAAAGTACACCATTTGCGTTCAAGTAACCCAGCCTTGCATGTAATTTACAACTTAAATGTTTATCAAGCTTTCTCAAGTTTTGAAATAGGTCAGGAAAAGCAACTCAAAATACCCACAGAAACAGTTTTTAGCTAAAAAAAATTTAAAGGCTTTGTGCATTAATATTTTGGTCAAACATTTAAGTTATACAGTTTAATATTTTGGCAAAAAAAAAATCTATCCTCTTCAATATATTTTTCTTTCATTTTATACCAGATGTAAATATACAGTACAAAGCAGCAGTATTAAAGTTCTTTGCTGTTGAGCTTTTTTTTTTTTTTTTTTTCCTTTGTTAAAGTACTTAGGCAAAGCAGACAAACAAGAACATAAGTGCTGGAAATCAATTGAGTATCTTTGGGCTAAATAAGGTCTTACCAGAAAAAATGTAAAAATAAATTAGTTTTTTCCTCTACAGACGTGTAAATAAATACTCTTTAAAGAAATTCTAATGTCATATCCTAAAGCAACATCTTCCTGTATTTCGTGATCAAGACTAAAGCTTCACACAATCTTGACAATTTTAATAGGAAGATATCCATTTAATATTTACATATTTTTGTAAAGGGAGTGTTCAGGGTTAAAAATATACCTCTTTTTAAAAGATAAGTCTGCCATCCTGATGGCAGTGATTCAAGCTATAGAACAGAAGACAAGTTACAGAATATCCTTCAGTTTCTTATACCCTAGATCAGAGAAAAGAGTTCAGGTGAATTGCAGAGGTAAACAGCCTGGATTCCAGGAACGGAGAGAGACAGTGGCTCATTCTATGAACATCTGCTTGGCCAGTTTCTGATACAGTAGGAGTATCTACCGAAATAGGCTTTGCTATTTTTCTAGACAGAGCTATACATTTTTATCTGTGGCTGACTGAAGTTTAGAGGAGAGAGCGGATGCCACAGTGAAAAAGTAACGTTATCTAAGGTTTTCATCTGGACCTGGTTTCAGAGAAAGGCCAGGTGAATATAAGCAGAGGCCATGCCCAGATGGTACACTCCAGGTGGGAGTATAACTACCAAAACAGGAAGAGTAAATCACTTCAGCCACACCTTAAGAATATCGTATATATATATAATTCAGTGTCATGTATAGCTTATTTTAGGCAACAATCAGAATCTGAAGGACCTCGTTAAGCTTTAAGGCATCAGTGCATCAGGGACTAAAAGATCCAGGTAATAAATATGAAAACAACAACAACAACAACGCAGCAGTATTTTTGTGGCATGAGCTATCACGGTCTATTTGCTTCATTGACTAGTACGGGAAAAGTATTTTTGGGGTGATGGTGGGGGAATGTTACACACTCTATTGAGAAAACTATTAGATCATAAACTTCACATCATTTTTTAACACTTCATTTAAAGGGCTGAATCTATCAGGCAAGATTCTCATCTTTACTGTTCCGTCGGCACCACAGGAGAATATGTGATTTGCTGGTCCTGCCTCAATTTGCATGACCCCTGTCCCAATGTTTCTGAAGAGGGACTGTCGAGCATGCTCATTGATGAAAGTGTGAAGAAGATTAAAGGTAGACAGACTCCACACCTGAAAAAAGCATCAAAACATCGTCAATCTCAAATGTAAGGGTAATTGCTATGATCTTAAAACTAATCAGTCATGGAAAAATCGGATTGGACTACATATTGCATTTGTCTTTCTGACACTAATTGTAAAAAAATAAAGACATATAGCAAACAATAGGGACAGAGCTATAGAATACTAATAGAAATATTTCTTTATGAATAACTGCAAGGAGGACTGCAAGATAAGACTAAAATTTTGTAATCAATTAGTAAACACGAGGGTCAGAGTTGAAGACAAATGCAGAACGTAGGACATATCTGATCATTCCACACCTATGTAAGGTTTTCACAAATTTTAAAAAATGAATTTGAATTTATACATCAGCAACAGCAACCCTTCTCCCCCCTCCTCATTAAAAAAAAAAAAAAAAAAAAAAAAACACCTTTATGTTGCCTTCAGCAGATCCTGTGACAAAATACTCTTCCGTAGGATCAACGGCAATTGCTTTGACTGGAGAATCATGACTCTGGAGTAACTGTTGCTGCTGTTTTTGGCGAAGATCAATGATACAAGTAAAGCCTTTTCTGCCTCCAGATATTAGTAGCTGATGTTTTGGAGCATATGCTAGCACAGTTGCTCCACTATCATGACAAATAAAAGCTGAAAGCCAAAGCAAATGAATTTAAATAAAATACACTGTACTAAGTTTAATTTTCCATCAACCTCTCTAATGGTTTAGGACAGTAACAGTGACTTTGAAACTGTAATGGAACTGGCCATAACCAGTCCGTTTAATACAATACAGTATATATTAAAACCTAGCTTCACATCAGACATCCTGAAGTTGTTGTATTCCCAAACTAAGCAATTACACTCTGCATGAAAATGATAAAAAAAACACACAAACAAAACCCACAATGCTCCTTGCTGTCCCTCTGTAATCAGACTATCAGTCAGATTCTTCTCACTTCTCATATATGCCTTTCACAATAATTCAATTAAGAAGGCTTCGCAGCTCATCTCTGCCCAGCCTTACTCTAAGTTGTAGATATTGAAATGTACTCTTCTCATTACAGTGAAACATTAGTAAGAAAAATAATGAAACCCAGTTAAATATAGTTATTTCATCTCTCAAAACAGTCTAATCAAACAGATGCATGACAGTGATCACCACACTGTCACCATCGAGCCTACTCATGACAGTAGACTAATTTTTCTAAAGCATTTTTTCACTACTCTATGTAGGTATCTACACATGCACACATATGCTAAAAGCATTAAAACAATCCACCATTTGGCATAGTACCTAAAATAAAAAGGATATAAAATTGGATAACCTTTGAAATCAGATGCATTGTATGTTTTACAAACATAATAGTATCTTTAAAAGTTCTTCTCTAAAACTTAGTATACTAAGATCTTGATTTGCACATCTGCTTGCTAAACCTTTTCACTAGGGGGGAGGGGGGAAGGTCAATGAAGATTTTCTAGAAAATTTGGTATATCTATTTACAACCATAATTCCAGAGATTTATTTCCATAATCAGGACTTCCCTGAGGGTTGGATTTTCACAAAGGCAATGAAATTTATTCATTCATGAAAAGCATATCTGCTCATACACTTTACATACTACATAGCAACAGCTAATGCATCGGGACATGTCTGATGTTATCTTTGCAATACCATTATTTAGTCTAATACTTAAATGATAAAATAAATTAGAGAGGGCCCTCTCTAATTTATCAGCATGGACACTGCCACAAGAACACAGAATTGAAGGGTGTGTATGTATATTCATGTAAAGATAGCAACTGTAATTTAAAACTGTGGTTTTTATAGTTGTATAGCTATTGCCTTCTCAATACTCTAGTCACTATAAGCAGGAGTTGCTCAAAACATTAAAAAAAAACCCCGAGAAATTAAAGACTTCTAGCTTTCAGAGGCTGCGCTCGTGATGCAAAGATACTAGGGATGCAAAGGAAGAAGCTCACGTCCGTGAAACTGATCGTTTATATATACCACTTATCAAGAATCTATTTTTAATATAGATTCCTGATGATGTACCCACATAGGACAGTGCAAGATGTTTTGCTACTAAGTTCAAGTTACTTCCCACAATAACACTTCCATAAAGATAGACACACTCACATTTAATATGATCAAATATTTTGCTGGATGTATTTTACTTACCATGCACCAAGCTATTTGTAGGTGAAACCAAAGTATCCCAAAGACAAATATTTCTATAGAAAAAAATAATGTTGTAATTCAGCAAGAAGTGTTCTAAGAGGTATTCTGAACACTTGAAATAAGTCATCTGAATTATTTTAAAAAGTTATTCCATACACAAAAACATTGAAAACAGACTTTTAAAAGTTAATACCTTTGAGCTGACTCCCAATTACTCTCATTTATTTCCCTTGTCTATGTGTCTATTTTTAAAGAATTTCTGACTTTCCCTAGTAAGAAACCTTCCATTGCTTAAATCCCAAATAAGAAACCATTAGTCCCTGGATTTGACAGAATCAGTTATACATACACTGGAAGAACATGCCTGCTACTCAGTCATTCTTCTATTGGTTACACTCATAAAGGGTTCATGTTAAGATACAGTCTTTTGTGGCTGATATCACCTGCATGCTAGTATCGTTTTTGCTATTTCTTAATCAAAACTTACTTTAAAAGCTAAAGGTTAATAGAAATGCTATTGACAACCTCTGAAATCTGTTTAAAAACAAGCAAACAAAACCCCCCCCCCCCCTAAGAAGGGCTTACATCAAGCACGAATGGAGGATTTGTGCTCCCTTACAGAATCATCTTTAGTAGCTATGTGGAATTTAGATGTAAATTCATCCCCTCCCTGGAGAAAAAAGAGATCAGAAGTACGCACCTTGCTCTCAAACTCCTTAAGGAGGATCATTTAACCTCCCCCCCCCCCAAAAAAAAAAAAAAAAAGGACACTTCAATTTCTCTTTATCACAGCAGCAATTAACAAATTCTTACTTGTTGTCTGTAGACAATCCTGCTGTGGCTATCAAAGATGATGAACTGATGAAAACAAAGTCGTTGGCTGTTTTGTTATGACACTGCCAGGTCTGAAAAATTGCAGTTCAGAAATTACTTATTAAATAAAGCAGATTTTGTGTTAGCATAAAAGCTTAAGCCTCCTCAAGGAGGTCAGCTGCTTCAAAAACACTTATAAAGAATACAGCATATAATGGTATGTGAATATCTTCTGATACTCTTAATTTTTCACTGAAGTAGACTTTCCAATTCCGTTTCATTGAAATCATCTCAAAGAACATTTACGTTATTTCAGATGTAACACTGCATCTCCAAATTAAGAAATATGATTAGCATTTGAGAACTTGTCTGTCAGATGGATCACATAACAAAATATCAGTAAACTTCAATCAATACAAGTTATTAGCACAGTCCTAGCTCACCCCTAACTACTCTAAAGGGGCCAGAAAAAAAAACACAACACAAATTTATGGAAGCCAGTTTAAGTTTCAGCTCACCAAATACGGTTTCGGTGAGGTTCCAGTAAGCGGACAACACTTCCAATTTGTTTGATATAAACTGATATATCCATCAGCATCAACAATTCCAAACTGAAATAAGAAATGTAAGTTGTAAGTATGTATGTATGTATGTATGTATGTGTGTGTGTGTTCTATTGCATACTTAAAACCATATGCTTTCCATTTACTTCATACATTAAGAGCAACTATATTATCAACCATTTAGTCCACTAAAAATAAATTCCTTTGTCCCAGGAATCTTTACAACTGCTGTTTTTCAAGGCAACTTGTCAATCTAATTTGGTACATACACTGATACTGTACTAACACATAAGGAGATCTCTAGTGTACACCGCCACTTTGGAAACAGTGGCATGCCTTCTGATAATTTGTAAGACTTCAGAAATTTTTAGTCTTTCCATTATGTTTTGGGGGAGGAAACTACCAAAACAGCAGTTTACACAAGAGCTGGAACAAAGCGTTTATACAATTGTTATAGCACAGCAATATTTAAAATGGTAGCTGTGTCCATATATGTCTACAGAGACCTCAATAATACATAAAGATTCCAAGAAATTTTGCTCCAAGAAATTCTAGTTCATCCTTTAAATAGTGTGTATATACACACACACACACACACAGAGAACGTGAACATTGACAGTACATACGAAGGATGACCTATTATTTTTTATTTTATTTACAGAAATAATATATAACATACTATATAGATATATCATACACAAATTTTAACATTTTAAATGTGCAGCAGAAAAGCAGGGCCTTGAGAATTATGCTGTCTTTCCATGTCTGAGAACACAGAAGTTATCTTCTACAATCAGAGAAACTAGTTCAGGTTTGAAGAATCAGATGTTTCTGCTAACCTACAATTTTTTTTTTTGTTGAGTACAAAAAGAGGGTAAGTGGAGAAGCGTTCTGTCAGTTACCTTATTTCCTTGGTAATTGAATCTCATTCGAGTTACCCTTGAATTGCCACCAGAACGAAAACATGTGATTTGCTGTGCATGACCCCATTCAAACATTCTTACACTACCATCTTGAGCACCTGTCAGATCTGCAACAGAAAAATATTTAAATAACTTTTCACAGATGTCCTAGCAGCTGAACAGGAAGGTTTCTTTCAAAATTTAAAGAAATGTCACAGCAACACACAAAATCCTCAAAATAGTCAGCACTATAACAACTGCATAGTACCTGCCATACCATAGGAGCACTGGGTACCACTGAAACTTAACACACCTACTACTCAAACCTTATTGAACTTTACTGGGAACAACATTTCTTGTTAATCACAGGAACTGTATTTAGATGGCCCTGAAACACGAGGCTACTTACTTGGAGACACTGAAGCACCTTTTACCCCCTACCTAGGGGGTAGGTTTAAAAATCACCGTTTCCAAAGGTCGTTCTACATCCCCAGAGGTTTGGGGGTTTTTGTTTGTTTGTTCGTTTTAGGAAATCATTCTCCTTTTTAAGTATAGGGCTTAAGTGATTTTTAAAACATGTGACAGATTGCTGTGCTAGTACCAGTTTGCAGCATATTAAGAAACAGGGCCAATAAGCAAGTATATAATCTTTGGATAACTTTGTTTTTAATAAAGTGAACTTACAATATGGTAATGTTGGATGAGAAGCCATTCTTCTGACATTATTAATAGCTTTCTTGAGCATCTGTTCGATATGCAAAATAAAAAAATAGTTAAATACTACCACTGAAGAAAATGTCTCCTACCACTAATTATTTTAGTTCAGTAGGTAACTGTTTCCTTGAGAAATTCCTATTGAAAGCAAGTATTGCTTTTAGAAATTCAGATAGAAGTTAGTCTCTCCCAAGACTAGCTAGTGTAGATGTTAATGCTTATGCAGCTTTTACGCCCAGGTAAATATTAACTTTTGGCTTCAGAGATTTATGGATCCAAATATGAACACTCCTTAGACTGCAGTCTTACCTCTTTTCTTGCCAATTCCTTTCTGATTCCATTAAATTTATTGGAATATTCCTGAACATTGTAAGACAAGCAAGAGAGGAAGAAGCAGAAGCATGTAAAGAAAGAGGTAAACAAACTTTAACAGAAATAAAAAAAATAGGAGGGACTACATTAAATGATTTTCAAGACTAGTTAGTTTATTGTCACTGACTGAAAAATAACTGTGATTATTTGTGGCCATCCAAAACAAGCAACATAGCTAGCAATAGGTAAACCAAAGATTTTTCAAGAGCATTTATTAACGGCAAAAATACAGATCCAATAGATTCTCAACAGCACTTTTAGTCTTATATTCCAAACTTTCCTTTGAGCAAGATACATTACCAAAACCCTATTTTTCCCATGCAGATTTAACTGATCAATTCCCTACTAGGAAGAAAGAGCTCAACAGATAACTGGAGACATCAAACAATTAAGATAAACCCCATCAAATTAAGTGGAAAGTCCAGCCTGTAATACTACCCCAATGGGAAGGACAATGTGGGGAATTTTCATTAGGGAAACGTCTCCATTTTTAACTTGCATGCCCCTCCCTTGGTTTCTTTCTGCTAATATATTCCAAAGTTAAGTCTTCATTCTTTTCTGTCAGTTCTCCCCAAAAAGCTTCTGTCTGTTTTGAGGACTGCCTTTCCTCAGAGAATTGCTGGATTCAGTTTGCTCCTGCATGAATAATCTACTTGAACATTCATGAGAGAAGAGGGTATAAGCTTATATTTGGACCAGGTGTTGTATTTTTAAATGAACACTTCCAAAAAAAGCTTGTTGTCACAGCATTCATTTCCAACATAGTAGGTTCTCACCTACTCTTCATCACTGGTAAGTTGACACTGACCCGTCTTCCTCAACTGCTGTAATTCTCTACGGTATTCTGCCACTACTTGACCAAAAAAACCAGCATATAGCCACTCAAACATTTTAAGCTTGCCATTCTCCCTTGGCCTCCAATGACATTAATGTGCCACCTGACATGAAGTATTAAATTACAAACTGTTGCGTATTCCATACTGCGAAATCTGATCCAAAGAGTTGAAAAAGCAATGTTCTCTAGCAATCCCAACTTGCCAATCAAGGAAGATAAATAGCGCTAATAAATTCTTCTCCTGCTAAAATTCATTGCTTTCTGGATTAGGATTAGTATGGAGTAATAGCATTCCTCCTGATCAGATTTTGGAAACAGATTTAGACCTTTCAGCTCTCAGATTTGTTGTTCAAGGGAAAGCTGTATGCCTCTTAGATAACTAATTTTATTTCAAAACGTTTTACTGAAGATCGAACGATAGATGAAAATAAGAACTCCAATATCTGTTTTTTACCTCACATCTGTAAAACACTTTAAATGACAAGGACAAACCCTGAAGGGGTTTGGTAAAATATTGGAAAACAAAAACAACATATACATTTTAAGACATTAGGACACGACAGTGGAGAACAACATACCTCAACCAATAGCATGTACACCAGTCAGTAAACAGTTGCAATACTTTGGTCTCTAACATGTAAGCTCGTCTATGCCCAAGTGACAGAAAAACTCAGAAGTTATTCATGCTCGTTATCTTTCTTCACCAAAATAAAAGGGGTGCGCTAAGCTTTATAGCTAATAGCGTCTATCCAGGAGTCAGTGAACACCTGCTTGCTTCATTCAACAGATAAACACGCACCATCTTCTCCTAAGCTGTCCTGGATGATGTTTTAGAAAAAGGGAAAATAAAAGCTTATGGAGGTATGTCTTTGAAACACGTGTTAACACAAATCTTTGGTGCACTCTCTCTGATTCAGAAGCCAAACACCATTATCAAATGCAAATAACGTAATGGACACTTGATTCTGCTAGTCCTCAGCTTCCCACTAACTTCAGCAGATGGCTAAAGTTAGCCATCTGGGCTAACTGGGGAGTTGGCTGCTCTGGGCCTAGCATACTTAAGACTGAAAAAGAGAGCTTAAAATTTGACCAGCAGTTATGAAACTGTGGCGAGTAACAAAAAACTCAGAGCTAACGAAATGAAGTTAACTGCCTTAGCATTATAGAAGAGTCCACTATTTTTGAAATACTCTGCCCTGTTGATGGGGTGAAGCAAAAACAGGACCAAAACGCCAGTAAGAGTACCGAACTGCAGGCTATATATCTATTAAATGGGCTCCGAATTACGGAAACGATGGGAACAAGGATCACAAGCAGTATGGGAAGGAACAACGTAATAAATAGTAGCAACACAAAGTCTTCTGATGGAGGTGGTTTTCCTCCAGATTTGAGCCCTGCCACAGTAACTCCAGCTTCTCTCAACATTCCCTGCATCTTCCTTCTTTTACCTGCATCTCCATTCAGTACCTTCGCCTCTCCTCCCTAAGCAACAGTTAGTGCATGCTGTGGTTGGTTCTCTACTCCCCTATCGGTGTCTAACACAAGGCCAACCAAAATATAGGTTTAAGACAAGGTGCAGATGTACTCAGCACAAGGTGAGTACAGGCGATAAGGTGCTTTGTGCGACCATTCCAGTCCAGTTAAAGGTGGCTCCAAGCAAGCATCTCCCAGCTGACTAATCTACAGACCTGCATTAGTGAAGGGCAGAGCATCTACCTTGCATGGAAACTAATGTAAGTATGTCAATGGCCAGATTAGAACCATTATTCAACCTGAATTAAATCTGTGCAAATAGCTTTTTGCTGAGGTCCAAGCTTTATTCCAGATTCAGTCTCTTTCTAAAAATAAGAGCTACCATTGTACAGGTGTCACCGCTGCTACCAGAAGAATCACTCTAGTCTTGCAGACAAAGTCATACTTTACTAGGTGTCCTTCACTAATTTATTTCAGAAAGGCAAGACAGTGACATTGATTATCTCCTCTAGAACATGCGCCTCAGAAGTGCACAAATAATAGTATTAGGTAAAGTTATGGAGACACTGCACAGCACTTCAAAAGAAACAAGAAAGAGCCAACACTAACCTTGGGGATAAAAAACCCACTGTCCTACATCCGTGTGACATGCAGTTCCAACCACATGTGATATTTGCAGCTGGTACTGTTTCTGCAATATCAGCTTCCTCGTTTTCTCATGACTCCAAAAATTCCCATTTCCCAGAGTTTAATTCATTTCACTTGAAGGCTTCTTTGTCCAGCCAATGAAATTTGCTTTAGGATTTCATTCACTATCACTTCTACAACACAGGATCATACTAGTGTACAGTGCAATAAAATGGCACTTTGTAGTAGAGTAAAAGTTGATATTTACTTTTAAATAAAAAGTGGAGTAGCCTGGAACTCAGAATGAAGCTTGAGATTCTGCTTTAACTAAAAGCAACCTCAATATTTTACACAAACATTTCTACCCAGTCCTCATACATCCTCAGTTTATGCTGTTCAAGTACAGCATTTGGCTTCAGCTCATTAAAAAACAATTTAAACTGTAACCTCCTACCTAAGCCTTGATTTTTTTTATTCTATTTTTTAATGACTTATCTTAAGTATTTAAACCCATGGATCAGATCATTAAAAAAAGTCCAGCTCTTGTCTTGATTATACACATAGGCTGCATTTATTCACAGGCTAAATGTAAAATATAAGTGGCAACACTGAAGAGAAAGTAGAGATACAGATAGAGTAGAGAAAGCTAGTCTTTGGCAAGTTACTTACCACAGATGCACCCCGGCCAGTTTGTGTACTACCAAGCCAAGGCATATTAATAGGTGTGCCAGGATTACTGTGAGTATAAGGAGTAGTTCCCTGAACATTTACCAGATCATCACGAGCATGTATAACTAAGAAATCATCAGCCCTATAAATGAAACAACATTACAAGTTAGATTGCAAGGAACAATATTAAGCACTGTGCTTTCTTACACTATGCATTTATGAAGAGTCAAGCTGCATTACTGGAAACATAGAAAGTATACCCTTTATTTTCTACTTCCATGTCATCATCAACCCAGGTATAGATTTGGGTAGCTAAAATCGCAGAAACATCTAATTCTTGAATGTCATGACTTGATGCAATGGCAATGCAGTTTCGATTTGCCTGAAAAAGTAACACAAACAAGAACAGTTACAAAAGGAACACTCAAAACGGTGCTTTTGGACTTGCTCTGGTTTTGGCAAAATTGTTCACAAAAACATACAGTTAATCAGTTTGCAAATACAAACGTTTTTGCCTAATCTATATATTTAGGCTAAACTTGATGTTTCCTTTTAAAAAGTTTGTTTCTATCTGGGATAGCAACATACACAATTTCTATTTTAAATCTTCCCTCCCAAGCAGCTCTAGTTTCTCCATACTTGTCTCAGAGAACCAAGAGGTTACTACCCAGCATACTATACTACATTGCTTGCAACCACCTCCGCTCTTCTCATCCACTTCTTAATGCTTAAATGGTTAGACAAGAGAAGACCACTATTTCCCTGTTGTCTTGGATGGAGAAGGAAGGGGTGTGGGGGGGTGGGGGGAACCACACACACACACTACTCTATATAAGCTTTAAGGAAAAAAAAAAAAAAAAAAAGTAGAGAGGCTCCCTCTCCCTCCCTTCCATCTATTGCACAATGATTAAAAAAATAGAACAGAACTGTGTGTCTTTAATAGGATAAATATGAAGTGCTTTAGAGAAAGAAACACTAAGAATTCAAGCTATCTCAGGACAGGTGGCAAAGGATATACCCATTCACAGTGAAATTGCCACTTGTTTAACAGGAGAAAGTTAACACAATTAAGTTACCCTACCTCTTTATACTCACTTTATTGACTGCAAAAGCAGTAATGATGTCAGACTCTTTATGAATTATTCTTGCCTTTCCTCCTGGGTATCCCAGATCTGTTTCTATCTGTATTTAAAAAGTAAAGCATATTATAAATGGAACAAGTTTCTACGCAACATTCCCCCCCCCCCCCCCCCCCCCCCCGGGAAGTAGAGAGAACAGATACAACCATATTATTTCTCTCAATTTGAGGTATAAGAAATATGACAAATACGATCTGCAATTATCACGATAAAGGTTTCACATGTAATAATCTTGCTTCCCAGTGTCATGTTGAGATTACCTGAGAATACAGAAGACTTAATTTGTCCTAAGTCCCACTTACTGTGTCTGTTCTCATAGTTTTTCAGGAATACTGAAAACCAGTGAGGCTACACATAAAGTTGGGGGTGTTGATTAAAAAAAAAAAGTCTTGATCTATGCTTTGGAAAAAAAAAAAGTTTTGCTAAGTCTCTTCAAGTTGTTACCAAAACTTAATTTCACCACTAAAACTGATGAAATAGTCCAGAAGAAAGAACAGATAAGACCCTGAACAGGAAAATAAATTTGAGCTTTTTCCAATTCATCCACTCTTCACAATTGCATAAGTCTGCTAGGCTGCCCTGCACATTCCAGTATCACAAAACAATTAGCAGGTATTTTAAAAATTAACTTTTCACTATCGATTTTTGTTTTGTTACCCAATCTAATGTAGTATTTGACTTGTTTACCTTTTCTTATTTTAGAAAATAGAAAATTTTATTTTCAAAATGAATCCAGCCATACATCAGCACATTATTAAATTCTAAGCTGCATCTCCTAGCAGCACTGCAGTACTCCTATTCAAAATTAAAGAGCTCAGGATTTCCTCTAGTCATTGACAGACTAGAGGAACTGTTGTAGATACAGAACAATTTTACAGTAAGAAGAGACCCTGCAAAACATAAAAGGCGATGTGAAAATTCAAATCACACAAATGTAAAATTTTGTACTTCCTCTAAAACACAAAGCATTATTCTAGAACTACCGTTTTCCAGCCTCTCCAACTCGATTTCTTCATTCTCTAGTCCTCAAAAGATTTACCTAAGGGTATTTTATTTGAACAACAGTAAGACAGTGCTGTCCAAAAAGCTGCTCACTGGCAAAATATATACAAATTGCAAACAATCTTTCAAGGTTTGGAAAAAGGCTGTAGCTGTTACATACAACAGAATGGAATACTCCTTTTTCAGGCCAAAACCAGAATTTACAAAACACGTGTTGATACCCTAGTAATCTTATGTCCTAGCTAAAACCGCATAAAACTGCGGTGACAATCAGGTACAGAAAGTGATCTCTGATAATGCGGCGAATAAACCCTCAAGAAATAACGATTATTTTTTTTGCAGTCACTAATACTGTTCCATCATATATATGTGAACACAAAGTGGTTAATTATGTATTCTATTCTATTTCCAGAATAGAAAAATTTTAAAGACGTTGTACAGGCGAATTCATTGCCATGTCAAAACTAAGGCTCATTAAAGGTTTTAAATAGCAAACTAGTGCGATGCTAACAAGCAGCACTTTGACTTTAGACTATGATTATCCATCTTCACCGGGGGAGGGAGGGGGAGTGGGAAGAGATTTCTAGTCATTATACACACGTCAGAGCTCCTGTGCACCCCTTCCCATAATACTACTGCATTTTCCAGGCCACTTGGGCAAATCTCAGCCTGCACTCTGTGGCTGGAATAGCTATGGACTCTGATAATACTTACTGTGCTTACCTGGTTGTTTAGTCCAGCTTTCTAGAACATATTTAGTTTCAGATAGGCTCTCTATCAAGAGCAGTCTAACTCTTAAATGCTTGCAAGACTAAAGGTTTCAGTTTTTGTGATGCTGCCAAAAATTTTTAAGAGTTAATGCAAAGTCTAAACAATTTGAGCATAACTACTGTGTACCTTATTGACGATGGGCTCCTCCACCATAGGATTTTTCATGGCTTCATTGTGGTCCTCTAACGACTTCACCAAGAAAAGAACAACCACAGAACAACAAGAACAAAAAAAGATAAGACATAACATACAAGGAAATCCTTAACTACTTGTTATTTATCCCAATACAGAACAATTAAAACAGTAAGTTGGCATACACATGCACGTCACATACATATTTTGTTGTGTAGCAACAGTAATTCCCAAATTCCAAACTCTCTGTTGAGTGCAGAACACACTAATTTACATATTTTGTACTGTCAGATCTCTTGGAAAATAAGTGATCTCCACTGACATATTATCAGTAACAGCTGTAACCAAAATAAAGCTAACAAACCTATACTGTACAAGGCTGCTAGTGATCCTACTTAGAAACATAAAATATTGGAAAAATTCCAAAACACCTCTCCATATAGCATAGCAGCATGGCTGCATTAACATAAGACTATCAGAAATAGGGCATCTTCAAAGGATAAGGCAAAACGAACAGCTTCCTCTCAACTGCAACCTGCAGTGAACACAGGTAGCTTCAACACCCAAGCAAGCTAGTAGTCTAGCTGTGCCGGGACAGAGATGAGCTCATGCAGAGCTCCTTGCTGCCATGGCTTTACTAGTGATGAATACTCCTTTCTCCTACATGCTTAGTGTGTTCTGATCTGATCCTCTCTCCTCCATTTCTGCTGCGAGGTATTTTTTCTATGATACAAGTCATTCATTTGAATCATTGCCGCACTTACTGACCTGAAGCATACAGCCTAGAAATAATACAGCAACGGAGCAAAAATTAAACAGTAATCAAATCCTTCAGTAAGTTTTGGCATGCTGAGGTTAGATGATTAAAAACTGTAGAGTTTTAGGCTGAAGAATTAAAATGAAAAATAAGAACGATTACAGGAGGAAGCTGGAAGTTTAGGGACATTCTCCATTTAAAGGCATTCTGTACATTGTACAGAATTAGGTATAAGTATAGCCAAGTTCAAAGTTTAGGTTATCGCCCTACCTTTCATCTAAAGATGAAATTTTTAGAAACCACTAATCCAAAGGAAAATTCTTTTGAATACTCTCAATCTTGCTAATGTGCTGTTCTGAGACTGTAAAGGTCACAACTGGACAAGCGTGGGATGTGGAAAGATAAGAAACAACTACGTGCAATTTTGCTGTGTTACACCGTGACGTGGTCAAACAACCCTGTACAAGTAGACCTGATCAACAAGACTGCTCAGTTTAAGGCTTGAAAGCAGCTTGATTGATCAGAGGACAAGTGGCAGAACTATGGGACAGAATTCCAGGGAACAGAAAAAGATACTGCACACTAATAAATCAGTCCAGGAGTAGCGGTTAAACAAAACAAACAAAAAATCCGAGCAGCTATAGAGGGGAAAAACAACAACATGCAGACCTAAACTTCAAAACATTTAACTGAGTCTGTGACCTGGAATATATCTAAAGGAGGCTACTGTTCCTGTAACTGTTGCATAACCATTTTCTTTTTAAAATTGAAATATAACATGATAGAAACCAGCGGGTAAACCTGGGATGGAGAGAATAAATACGGCAAAGATCAACTCAGATTTTTACAATTTTGACCAATTACGTTACAAATATTTTGATCTTTGAAATTCTAAGGTTTGCCATTCTTCTGAGGTAACTTCTATAATGATGTTAAGAAAGCTAAGTTTTTCAGGCGATCTACAATTCAGACACTGGTTATTTCAGTTTTCAGTGAAATAATGGGACAGAGATTTTCAATGAAAAATACTGTAGATACAGACACAGTCATAGACAAATTTATTATTCATTCATGCGCTAGAAAGCAAA